GACTCCCTTTTTTGACAAGAATTTCTAAGAAATTTAGAAAGCAGTTTGGCAAAAACTAGACCTATACCAACCTCTTATAACAGGGGTGGGGAACCTGTGGCCTCAAGGCCCTCTAGGTCCTCAAGTGTGGCCCCTGTGACTGAATCCAAATTTCACAAAACAAATTCCCTTAATAAAAGGATTTGTCAGACTTATGCCACATACCAAAATTTAGCTTAAAACAGATAAAATGAATATAAATATGCCAGAGAATAAGATCACATTATCCTCCACAATATGGCTGGAGTGGGAGTGATCAAGAACTTACAACAGAAAAGAACTAAGGAAGTGTTAATTTCTTTCCCAGGTTTACCTTAAGTGCTTTTTTCCCCACTTCCTTTTTAAGCTTTATTAAAAGGGATGCTAAAAGGTAGGGAGAGAGAAACAATATCTTTGGAAATGAAGGTGAATAAAAATATGAGTGTAATCCCAACTCTTGTAGCCTCTTCTACAAAAGCTGTAACTACTGTTACTATTATAAATGACAGGATCTTGACATAATGGCAAGTGTACATTGACATTCTGCTATTAGTTGACTATGATGACTGACAAGAAACAAAGTGAAGTACAATTAGAGTTTAATGGTCATGCTATGAATAGACTGAGAGTCCATCACAAGAAGTTTGAGAGCTAAAAGAAACTGTAATAAAGTAGAGAAAAGAGAATGAAGAGACCTTTTTATTTATGGAACTCTGTATCTTAAAAGACTGATATCCTTATAGAAATGAATGCTGGACCTCTGTTTTTAGAAGTGAAGACGTCTGCTGTTAGAGTAATGGTTTGTGGTGACTCTACTTGTGATATTCTCACAGGTAAAACACTGTAAATAATTATCTATGTGTTATTACTGGCAACATTAACAAATTATATACAGGCAGTAATTAATTGAGCAGATTAGGAGTTCTCATATAGAGAGAGAGATACGAGAAACTGCTTATACAAAGAGATTTCTCCAGCTTATTAAAATATCCAATTAAATTGGGGTGAGGGATCAGAGAGCTTAATAATGTGAGATGTTGAAATTTAGTAATTAATTAGGAAACATTAAAATATAACTCTGGATGGGATTATATAAACTCAAGTGAGTGTAGTAAATCCCAAAAAACCCAGCTACATAAAATATGTACAAATAAGAGTGTGACATTTCATGCACTAAAATTCATTTATTTAAAATGTAAATAGTTGCAAAGCAATTTTAATCAACTGTATTGGTATTTATTTTTTTTCTCTCTCTATTTTTTTTTTTTGGTGAGGCAACTGGGGTTAAGTAACTTGCCCAGAGTCACACACCTAGTGAGTGTTATGTGTCTGAGGCTGGATTTAAACTCAGGTCCTCCTGACTGCAGGGCCAGTGCTCTACCCACTGAGCCACCCAGCTGCCCCATGTATTGGTATTTAATATCAACTTTATAATAAATCATTTTTGTGAAACCATAGCATAACAGATAGAGAGCTGGCTCCAGAGTCTAGTAGACCTGGGTTTAAGTCTCACTTCTTACCAATATGGCTGTGTAATCTTGGGCAAGTCACTAAACCTCCCCGGCCCTCAGTTTTCATATCTAAACTGAAATTTTTGGAATACATGACTCTTCCAGCTCTAAATGTATAATCTATGAAATGGAGGCATCAATTGCAGACTTTTTCAAGAAGTTACTAGTTTTCACAATAGTTATTTTTTTCCCTTTTCTCATAGCTCCTCCCAACTTAATGAATCTATTCATCAGGTATACTGGGAGAAATAAACACCATTAAGTGTAAGATTTCTTGTTCTTAAACTATTTATGTTGACACATTATATGCCTGATTCTTTGACCTCTTGTTAAGTTCATATTTCTCCTATAAACACAGAGCTTTAATGTTGATGGAAAGTTTCTGGTTAGCAGTGGCCTTTTGCAGCCAGGAAAACAGTTCCAAAATAATATTGTTCCCTATGATACCATGTAACTATAAAGATTCTTAAAGATAAACTATAAAATAGAAAGATCTTTAAAATCCCAATTTTAGAAAACATGGTAAACAACATAATTTACTAAAATCTGAAGATGACTTACTCCTTTAAGATTTCAAAAGGTACTTTAAGACCTTATAGTTTCTCAGAATTATTAACACAAGCCTTAATTTATTACATGCTGTTGTTGCTCACTTATTTTTGACTCTTCACGACCCTGTTTGAGATTTCTTGGCAAAAATACTGAAATGGTTTGCCATTTCCTTCTCCAGCTCATTTTTATAGATGAAGAAACTGAGGCAAACAGGGCTAAGTGACTCATCCAGGATCACACACCTAATAAGTGGGCTGAGGCCAGATTTAACTCACAAAAATGAGTCTTCCTGATTCCAGGTCCAACACTATCCTTTGCACCACCTAGCTGCCTCAATTATTATGTATCTCACTCTATATATGCAAAATTGAACTGTTTTTGTATTTAACCAAACCTGTGATTTTATTTTTGTAGGGAACAGGAGTTCCTTACAAAGGGAGAGAGATAACTCTCTCCCATCAATTAACTTTGCAAATATTAGGCTACTTAGAGAGAGTCATAGACAGGTTAAGGCCATGCCCAGGGTCATAGAGTCAAGCCAGTATGTGTCAGAAGTGAAACCTGAATCAGATTTTCTTGATCTCAAAGTCAGCTCTCTGTGCACTTCACCATGCTGTTACACTGATCAAATATTATGACTACTAATTCTATGGTTTAGGGTTGAAAGAACAATTGTTTTAATCCAGGAGGCAAGGTTTCTATTCAGGGTTCTACCACTATAATATATGAAAGTCATTTATATATAATATATGAAAGTCATTTAACCTCTCTGAGCTTATTTCCTTATGAGTAAAATGAAGGAACTTGCACAACTAGCCTCTAAGGTCTCTTTCTAGTCAAATTCTACAATTTAGCCTACAGGTTATTTGAAAATCCCTTTGCAGATTAAAGGTGGGGAAATCAGTTAGGCTTACTGTAGTTACAATTTTGATGCGATATTATCTCAAAAATATGTGTATTTTGTCTTTGTATCAAATCCAACTATCGCCAAAAATTTTCACACTGTCCTCTCCTCTCTACTCATACCGCCACCACCCCTGGGCAGGGCCCACATCACCCTTCCTAACTGGTCACCCTCTTTAAGTTTCCTCCTCCACGTGGCTGTCAAAGTAACTTTCCTAAGGCCCAGATCTAACCTACTCCCAGCTCAAATTCCATGTCTCCTCCCTATTACTTTTAGGATCACATACAAACTTCTATGTGTAGCACTTAAAACCCTCCAAACCTGGCCCCAGCATACCTATTTCACTCTTATCACTACTGTTTCTCAAGCAAAACACGTCTTTTCCTGGGGCACCTAGGCGGCAAAATGGATAGAGCTCCAGGCTTCTTGTAGTCAGGAGGACCTGAATTCAAATCCAGCCACCAACACATAACACTAGCTGTGTGACTTTGGGCAAGTCACTTAACCCCGACGGCTTTACCAAAAAGCAAAAAAACAAACCAACAAACAACCCACTCCATTTCCAATCTCCATGAGTTTGCACTTGTTGTTTCCCAAGTTCATGTGCCCTCTTCCATATGAAGCCTTTCCTTACCTGCAAAAAATTACCTTTTTATATATACGTTTTCTCCCCCCATATAATACCAGTCAACAAACATTAATTGCTAGCATAAGCTCCTTGAAGACAGGGGATGCTTCATTTTTGTCTATCTCACTTCTTAGGCACAGTACCTGGCCCAAAACAAGTGCTTAATAAATGCTGGGAGACTGGTACATACCAAGCAAACTCAAGGTACCAGAAGGAACAGCAGGAAAGGTCTCCTAGAAGCTGTGGCTCTTATTAAGCTGACTCTTGATTGAGGTAAATGAAATCACTTCATGAAAATGGCAGAAAACCGAAATTATTCTCTACATATACCATTAACTATTATTAGGAAATGAAAACATGTAGATAAATTTCTAAAGTCTCTTCCAGTTTATAACAAAAAACCAATATATGACTCTACTACATCCCTTATGCCAGGAAAGTACTAGGGAAAAATAAAGCAAAACAAAACAGAGACCTTACATCTTTCCATTGCCCACAATTCACTAACGCAAACTAGGGAATATGACTTTCAATACTTTGAAGCATTTGCTCCACAATTTTGTAAACAGGCCAGTGTGTAATGAAAAGAGTAATTTGCCCAGTTTCACAGCGGGAAGAACATTTATGGCCATAAAGTTCTTTATCAAAGGAGGGAAAAACCTACAGCGCTCTACAGAGGCGCTCCCAGGTGATCCTCTCCGGCACTTCAAAAGGTAGGAGAGTGGCCGGGGCGGGTGGGGAAGTAGGGAGGCGCGTTTACGATGTAGGGGAGTGTAGAAGGGTGTGGGGGTATGGGGGGTGCGTGCACGCGAGCGAGCGTAGGGGTGGGGATGGGGAATGGTGTCCGTGCGCGTGCGCGTCATTGCTAAGCTTTTCAAGAAGCCCGGAAGGTGAAACTTCACAAAACTAGGATGACACCTAAGGCCCTTTCACATACCGCTCCACTGATCCATAATTCGCTTGGCAGCCCAGCAGAAGCATGGAGAGGTGAGAAAAGGAAAACCAAGCACCCGAGACTACTGAACTAACACGGGCACCAATCCGGAGCCCCCGGGCGGCTTCCTCTTCGATGCACCCCGGTTGTCCCTCAGTTGCCCTTGGAAGCCGAGGGCCTTCCCCCAGGGCACCTTCGCTTCTTCTTCAACATCACCATAGCACCCCAGACTAGCGCCGCGCCCAAACCGAGGCGACTCCGCCTACCAGGATCCCTCCTAGGTCCCAGTGAGGCCCAAACACCAGGACGACGGAGTAGCTGCAGGGTGGAAGAAGCCAGGCCCTCCAGCTCCACCTAACCCCACCCTGCCCCGCCTATTCCTGCCCTGAGGCCTAGAGGCGGCCTGGCCTCCTTTAGTCGAGCGGCCCGGCCACCTTAGGCCCCAACACTCACCTGGGTTCCAACTACGACGATCTGGGGTAGCTGGATGATGTCGGCGCCCACGGTGTTAAAGACGTCCTGCAGCTTGTTAATAACTGGAATCAGCGCCTCCATGCCTCCTGGAACACAACGCCCCGGGCCCACCAGGCAGAGGCAATGAATGAGGCCTGGCCTGGAGTTCACCTCCACCTTCTAGTCGCTTTTCTCCTCCCTCTCTTCTTCCTCCTCCTCCAGAGCCAGCACCCATTGGACTTGGTCCGCCCCTTACTTACTCCCTCCCAGCAAGCCGTGCGCCAAAAAGGGGTGTGGGCAGGGAATAGAGAAGCGTCCCAAAGCCTGATGGGAATAGTAGTTCTGGAAGAAAGAAAGAGTAGGTGGGGAAAAACTACCAGTTACCCGGGTGCTTTACGAGTTTGCATGTTGTGGTAACAAAGCACAACTACAGATTCTTGGGATTCGCTTAAAGGGCTGAGAGATCCTTTTCAGTACAAGGAAACTGATCAAGTATTTCATTACCTTTTATTTTACTAATAAATATTCCAATTTGTTTCAGAGGTTAAGGATATATAAATATATGTGTATACATATGACATATGTATTGTTTATACACATATATTTATATGTAATACATATTTGTGTTACTCCTTTAAGGAGGGGTCCCCCTGATCTTCTTGGGCTAAAGCATACCCCATTGAAGCATCATGCTGCTGAACTGGGCTCCTCTGCCTCCTTCCCGGCACCTATTTGGCACAGAACTGAAGGACTTCATAGCTTTGGGATACCAAAGCATTAACTTTATTGATTTATTGGGGATGCAGGGGGTTCTTGTTTCAAAGAGAAATGACCAGTGATTCAGGAAGAACCTAGTTAGTTACTGGGAGAGGGCATTTCTGCTATATTATATCTCCTGTACAGTTGCCGCTGGGAAAAGTGAAAAAAAAAATACGAAGAATTTGGAAACTGAGGACATAGGTTCAAATCCCACTTCTGCCACTTAATATTTGTGCTACTGGATTCAGCTCTTTCAGCCTCATCTTCCTCATCTGTAAAAAGAAGGCATATGACTGTAAATACATGACCCTAAAATCCTACACTCATAACATGTGTCTGGAACTTCTAGTGAAGAGAAGAGAGAGGCTCTTTTCCCCACCTGCTGGATGCACTTTCACCACAGCCCTACAACCTCCAGAACCTATGGCAGCACATAGCAGGATTCATACTGACCACCTGAGTCTAAGCCTGAGTTTAGGCCTCAGACCCTGGCTATCTCTTCTGGTTTCCCTGCATAAAGGGATTTAAGTATCAATCCCGAGATGGATGTTTTTCTCTTTGGAGCCAGCCTTATAAATTTGAGAGGTAGAGCCAGCTGCAATTAATCAATGATCATTTTTTTTTGTTTTTTTGGGGAGGGGTTAGGCATTTAGGGTTAAGTGACTTGCCCAGGGTCATACAGCTAGTAAGTGTCAAGTGTTTGGTCTGAGGCCAGATTTGAACTCAGGTCATCCTGGCTTCAGGGCCGGTGCTCTATCCACCAGCTGCCCCTCAATAATCATTTATTAAACTCTTAATATATGCCAGACACTAGGCTAAGTGCTAGAGATACAAAAAAAAGGCAGATGACAATCCCTGCCCTCAAGGAATTTACAATCTAATGGGGAAGACAACATGCAAACAAATATATTGAGAAAAAATAGGAAATAATAGGAAAAATATAGGAAAGATTTAAAAAAAACCCAGGAAACTCAGTAGGTAGTGGTAAAGAGGGAGAGCCAGAGAAAATGCCCTTAGCCAAGAGATGTGTCTTGTTCTTGGAAGAGCCAAGAGGCCAGTATCACTGGATCAAAGAGTACATGTCAGTTAGTGAGGCTTAAAAAGTCTGGAAAGATAGGAGCAGGTGGATAATGCAAGGCATTTTGTATTTGATCTGACAGCTATTGGTGGAGTTTCTTGAGGAGGGGAGAGACATGGTCAGAACAGTGCTTTAGGAAAATCACTTTGATGGCTAAATGGATGAATTGGATTAGAAAAAGACCTCAAGTCTGAGAGAAGTGATTATTAAATAATCAAATATTGGGGAGACCCAGGATTTTTTTTCATTCTCATTTAGAGATTAAGTCAAAGCTTAGTTCTCTGAAGGGAAACGCTGATGATGAAATGAAATCTTGGAGTTGTTGCCCCACCCAACTAAAGAACCTTACAAAGAATTTAATCTAAGGTTCTTTGTCCAAGACTGAGTGATCAGAGTCACACGTCCCAGCCCCTCATTAGAATAGCTCCATTTCTCATTATAATATTCATTCTTCTCATTAATTGTTAACCAGAGTTGACTGCCCCCCTCAGAAATACCCACTCTTCCAAGAGCATAAGCATTGAATAGGTTCCATGAGATGTCTTTGGCATTCAAGTGTGCCACTGAGCCTTTTTATTATTGCTAGCATGATTAATAAAATAACTACCCCAAAACTACATCTCTTGAACTTTTTATATGCCACAAGTCTTTGGTGGCAGATCCACTAGCAGGCTATTGTGTGTGTGAGGTGATGGGGGCCTGTACTATGGTGGTGGCAGTTATCGGAGAAGAAGAGAATGTATGTGAGAAATGTTGCAGAATTGGAATTGATAAGCCTTGGCAATAGCTTGGATATGAAAAGTGTGAGATATAGAAATCAAAGGTTAACTCTTTGGTTGGGAGCCTGAAGGTCAGAGAGAATGGTGTTGTCCCATACAGTTATAGGGAAGGAGTGGGGAGGAGATAATGAGCTTTGTTTTTGGACATGTTTAGTTGATGTCTACTGGACATCCACTTTGAGGTGTCTGAAAGGCAGTGGGAGATGAAAGATTGAAAGTCAGAAGAGAGGTTGATACGGAATAGGTGGATTTGAGAATCTAATCAAACAGTCTTTGTGTGTGGTTGAGATGGGGTGAAGGAATAATTCATGGAAGTGAATAGATTGAGGAACCGAGTAATTAGGAAGTTTGAGGAAGGATCGATATATATGTTCGTCTTCTAGAATGTGGGCAGGAGTTGGGGAGGAGATACACTTTGGAAAATTCTTCCTGTAGCCATCATGATACTTCTCAATGGAAAAACTTAATTATACTTCTTTTTAAGCACAGAAAGTTGAGCCCAACGTACTGGCCTGGCTTGATAGTAGAAGGGAAGGTAATAAGTATTTATTAAGTGTCTAATATGTGACTAGAGTTCCCTAGCATCCACCCCCCTAAATTTTGGCTTTCAAAAAATTCATACTTTATCAAAAATACTTTGAATATAACTTTCCCTCCCTATTCTTTAAGGACTGAAATAAACAATAGAAGAACTGTTTCTAGAAATAATTATATGATGAATTTAATGACTTGGGAGATAGGAGAAGGGTTGAAGTGGAAAAGTATCACCTATTTTTTCCCAAATGAGGGGAGGGAAAGAAATGGAAGCATTGGATATATCTTCTTTACCAATACCTGCTAGGAGAGGTTCCCAATGGTTAAACATAGGGAAAAAATTACCTTAAGTTATACTTTTGACCTCATTAGAGGATTACATCCCTTAAACATCTAGCCCAAATTAAGTTTTAGAATAGATATTAAGTTCTTGAAACCCTTAAAAATGGTGTGAAATTTGGAAATGTTTGCATTATATCAGACAAAAGGCCTTAGGCAACATTTTAGTAATAACCATTTCAGTTATGCCTAATATTGTATTAAATATGTGACCTTGATATCTAGTCCTTCTGTTTTGAGGCAAGTCATATGAACATATAAAATCCTTTATCTTTTATTCCACATGTCAAAAGAATGTTCAGTTAAATGTTCAATAAAAATTAAAACTTAATAATCTCACATTATGTCATTTCATGTCCTTGCTATCAGGGGCTACTAGTAGTACTAGTAGTAGATTATAACCTGGTTTCTCCTATTTTATCTCAATTGCAAGGTGAAAACATTACATTTGGTGGTGATAAACATTCAAGTGAAGTACTGAATGCAGAGATTTCTGACTTTATTGTCGTTAATGGAAATAAAATCACTGGTGTGAAAGACCTGAAAAATTAATTTGAGAGGCAGAAGAAAAAAGATGTTTTCTTATAATGCTACTTTTGCTCATTATTTAAGAATGTATATAGGGGCAGCTAGGTGGTGCAGTGGAAAGAACACTGGCCCTGAAGTCAGGAGGATCTGAGTTCAAAAGTGACCTCAGACCAAACACTTGGCAGTTACTAGCTGTGTGACCCTGGGCAAGTCACTTAACGCCAATTGCCTAAAAAAAAAAAGAATGCACATGGTATATATTAATCATAAAATCTTAGAACTGGAAGGAACCATTGAGATCATCTGTTGCAGTTCCTCCCTTATATTACAGGTAGACTGCAGTTCAGTGACTTGTTCAAATTAATTCACACAAAAAAAATTCACAAAATTTAAGTGGTAAACTTGGGTCTTGACTGATTCCCAAACCCAAATACTCTTTCCTTACTTATTTTTAAAAATTATTGAGATCATTGTCTTAATCCTTGGGTGCTTCTTAACCAAAACCCCAATTTAACTTATTATTAGCCAGGGATATAACAACATTATTAGGTTGGAGTCTTAAGATCTAGGTTCAGATCCTATCTTTGCTACTACTTGTGTGACCTTGGGCAAGTGACTTAAGCTCTAATGAAATTCCCTGATTTAATCAAATATTGTAGTCTGCATTAGTGGGGGCTTTCCTTATACTGCAAAAATTAGATCCTTGTTATATTTGAATAATGAGACTGAGACAAAAAGATGGTAAGTCTAAATTATGATGTATTTTCAAAGTTTCTAAAAACATAAAACAAAGTAGGCTAGTATAATACTTGTCATCCTAAGACTCATAACACCTCTGATGATTCTATGAACTTCAAATTAACTGAATCATAAAATTCTTTACTTGTTTAGAAGACAGGCTTAAGTAAAAATGATGGAGCTGTTCTTTTATTTTTCAATGAGCTTCTGTAATCTCTTAAGTCTTCAAGGCAGATTATTTATGATGTTCAACATGTTAACTTTTCTCTCCTGGAACTGAAAATGCCATTAATAATTATTATGACTGATATAATTAACCCTTTATAAATATTAATATATTCCTTAAAAAAGAGGAAGGATGACAGATTGATTTCTTTTTGTTTCAAAACTTTTTTCCCCCCTGAGGTTGAAATCTAAAAATTTTTGTCTTTTATAGAATGGTTACATGACACTAATGAAATATGCACTTCTGCTTCCCACCACTTGTAAATATCATAAAGTGTAATAAGAATAATAACAATTC